GCAGGACTCACTGATTCTAGGTCTTTAGCTGTGCAACAAGGTCAAGGATCTAGTAGGTTTTTTTAACATTACTACTCCTGTAGCTGCACCCCCAAGTATGGGGTTTTCCAAGCAATGTAGGAAGTATTCTGCTTAGGCAGAAAGTCACTTTATAAGGTTTCTCATAATGTTTAGAGAAGACCCTCTGTACCCTGTGCCAAAATGGTTCCAATGGTTCATGTAGTGAAAAAGCTGATAAAGCTTTAGGCGTTTCTCAAACCCTGCAGCTTTGGGAATTTTACTGTGATAAGCAGAGTAAAAAGAACTGCTGAAGCCACCAAACATCCCAGCTATGGCAAGCTCATACTCTGAATGGCCGTAGAAAGAAGCCGGATCGAAGATAATTGGACCAGAATCATCCTCAGCTACATTTCCTCCCCAGAGATCTCCATGCAGGAGAGCAGGAACAATTTCTAAGTCACAGAACAAACTGGGTATCTTCAGCTGCAGGGGGGAAAAAAACAAGATGTGTAAGTACTATATTTTAAGGTGAACTATTACAGAGTTTTATCTGCATACATGCAGAGCATGAATTGAAACTTCTTAAAAGTCCATTAAAAAAACCCCATAACTTGAAACAGCATACAACCTAGTCAACAGAGATGCTGAGAAAATCAAGAGAATTTCTATTTTTCATAAAAGCCAGCAGCTGAAGAATAGTCATCCAAATGTTTTTTAGCACTAAGAAAATAAAAAAATTAAAACCGCATTCAGTGCTGCAATATTGACCAGCTTTAATAACAACCACAACCACCCACTTCATCATTAGAAGGCTCAGGAATCTCTCACCAACCTTGAAGGGATTTCTACAGAGTAGTACCCAGATAGCTAATACTGCAGTCACTTAATCAGATGCAAACCTTAAGTGAATAGATGATGTGCAGAACAGTACTCCTTATATACATTTCTCATCATGAACATGTTACAGGGAATGAGAAATGTGATCTTGATCTAGTATTTCCCAAACAGTAAGGCAAAGTGCTATCTGGCATACATTCACTTTGGAATATTAGCATAGGGTGATATGGCAAAAGCCATCATACCTTAGAATAAAGGGCATTTTAATCCCTAAAAGCTGGAGTCTCTTACCAACAGAACCTGGAGCATACCAACAAACAGGAACTTTGTGTTATGAAAAGAAAATCTAAACAACTGATACCTATCGATCACTATAATGTGAGAATTTCTCCTACCTGAAGTTGTGCCCAAAGTTCTCTTGCTTCCCTGTCTCCTGAATTCTTTTCGATCATGTCCATCTGGGGCTGGATTCTTTGCTTGGCAAAGAAAGTCACCCAGTCATTCTGCCAGTCATTCACCTGAAAGGAACAGGATTGCAGATATTAGTTCCACACCACACAGAAGACAGATTTTTCTTTTTCAAATAAAGTCTGAAAGATTATACAGACTTTGTGCTGATACCTTCCAGGACAGTAAATGCTACTATTTAATAGACTGTTACCTTAAAATATTAAATTAGGGGAATAAATAATTTTTTGTAAGTGATAAAAACTAAGCAATTGAAGAGCTATGAATGTCCAATGCAGCTGTAAGTGCTGTCAAAGCACTACTTCCCTTAGCAGGCTGAATAAGGGTTTTTCTTTTTATGACACCACAGAAATAAATGAATTTCCACTATGATAATTTTGGACCTTTGTGTCACTGAAGGGAAAATAAGATAAACTTAAAATTCTATCAGTCTGATGAAGTACAACCTACCTGTGGAAGATAGCCACAGCAGGTAACTGTATGAAAGCCAAATTGATCCACAAACTGGACTTCCATTTGCCCTTGACCTTTACCTTTCAAACCAAAGACAAAAATCCAATACTAATGACAAGATTCTAAGTACCTGCAATGCAAATGGACCTTAAAAACTAAGCAAGGGTACAATGTTGCTTCTACTGAGAATAAAAAAAAAAAAATGCACCTTAACATTCTTTTTGTTACAATGGTTGTTGCTGCTGTTTTTTAAGTTTAAAGCTTTATGTTAAGTAGCTATATTATAATCTTCATAATCATATTTTGAGCTAGCGTATCTCCTCTGATACCATATCCTTGCAGAAACTGTGGGTCGGGACCCCAAGGGTCCCAAATTGAATAAACGTTTTGCTTACAGAGATCCAAACAGAGCAAATAAAAGCAAAAAGAAGACCCCCTGCCTGGGTGTTTCATCCAAATCTATCTTCATAATATATTTAGGGGAAGAAGACAAACTTATCCTGAAATAACAAAAGCTATTTTAACTATTTTGTAGATTATTATTAACTAGGTTAAATTTGCAAACAGCTGTGTACTATACCGACTGTGCTCTCTTCTTTCTTCAGCTTCTCTCCAAGTTGCTGGTTATGAAGGTGGAGATCAGCTAGTTGTGTTCCAAGCTTTGCTGAATGTCTAAGAAACAAAAGTATTCTTAGCAACACTGACACATGAATAAATCCAGTTCTTGATATTCCAGGAATTACTTTAAAAAATTTACCAAGCAAGTATAACAATTTCTGCATCTCTAACAAAGAACATTTTGAAAATATTCCAGTCATAAACACCTCTTCTTCCTGTAAAGATTATGTATTAACACAGAACAAAATCTACTTACATGGTTGTTTCTGACAACACTATTAAAAGTAAGCAGCAATCATAAATTTAGTAACAATAAGAAACTATCAATTCTAATTTCTGTGTGATATCACTTCTATATGAACTTTCGGTAAAATATCTGTAAGAAAAGCACGCACAGCATGTTATGCCTTTTTTTTTTTTTGGCAAACTGTCTTAGGGAAACAGAGCCAAACAAGACCCTCTTTATATCTCTCTCTGTCTCTGGCTTGGCCTCTCTAAAAGGTCTAGAAGATGGAACAGTCAGGTGGGCCTTATTTATTCATTTATTTTTATTAAAAGCTTATCCTCTACACAGTTCAGAAAAGCCTTGCAGTAATTACAAACAACTCTTACAGCCAGTTGCCTCCCATGTTAACAAAAGTATGCCCCTTTTCCTGTCTGTGACCTCTCACATCTTTCCCTGTTCTCAAGGCACTGTCATTTAAGGCAAAGTTATTTCTTCATTTTGTTCCTGCTAACACAGATTGTAGCTATTCCCTGAAATTTGTATGCCAAAGGTTGCATTTGCACACTTTTCATCTCAAGCAGCCCAACCACAACAAGATTTCTGCTCCTTCTCTTGGAGCTCACTGGGGGGTCTTCACAAATTAGAAACTCTGTGGACGAGCAGGATGAGGGATAAGACTTCAAGCTGGCTGCAGAAGTTCTGAGACTGGGATGAGAAATTGGTCATGCCCTCCTCCGTAATGGAATCAGACAGAAGTATTATCATCATATTTTAATTTTCTCAAGTGTTTGCGACAGAGAAGGGCCAAAAGTTTGAAACTATCAAAATCAAGGTGACAGTTGTAAAAATATTGAGAAGAGGATTCATTCATTTGGGGAAGTGCCTCTGCATGCTTGTGACAAGCAATATTAAACACTGGTTCTTATACCAAAGGCAAGTACACAAAACAGGTGATCAGGTAGGTCATTTCCGTTACTGCAAAAGGAACCTTACTGTAAAAAGATCTAATTACCTAAAAAAGACCCCAAACAAACCCAAAACTAAACAAAAATCACACTCACTTCTTGATGTATAACCAATTTTCTAGGTAAAGTATTATGAAGTATTTTATACAGTTCTCTGCTGTATAACTTCCCAAATGTATCTTGACTTTAAAGAAAAATTAAAACAAGTTTCCCCTCTGAAAACAAGTGACTTAACTGTCATAATAGTCAAAATTTCTGGTTAAAGGATGCAAAGATAATACTGTGTTTTACCTGTTTAAGCCTCTCATTTCCAAATGTTCCATCACAAACAGAGTACTGCCCCCAGGCAGGTCTATAACTTTGATGGGTTTAGGCACTTTTATTGTCCGCGTTTTCAAGATGGCTTCCAAACTTGCCATTTCTCCCTCAAACATTCTTCTGGCCTGCCAAATATTAAAGGAAAGCATTAGTCTCTAAGAACACCAGGCACAGGTAAACAAAGCTCTTTCACAAAACTAATCAAGGCTGTAATGTTAAATAAAAAGCTTGGAGCATGTGGTTACTGCATGTACAAGATACAGGTAGATCCACACCACCAGACTTGACAGTAATTTTACAATTGCAGGTATTTCACTTCATAAATTGACTCCGTGGAAGTGACTTAGGTTCTAGCATTCTCTGTATTCATAAAAGTAACTTAGAAAGTCTGTTTACAACTGAAGGACTGCAAACTGCATATATATAAAAGATAAGCGATATTTTACTAATGGATTATGTAGCAAATGTCTAGAAAGCTATGGGCAATACACATCGTCACTTGAGAGACTAGAAGAACGGTACTGACATTCATAGTCTTCATGACTTTGCTGACACAGACTGCTTAGTAATACAGCTGATCTTCAAAACAGTCTAATTTGCAGTCACAGAACGATTTTCCGTGGCCTATTTCTTTTGTCTCATGAGGAAAAAAAAAAAAAAAAAAAAATCAATGATAGCAGCCAAATGCCCCTTACCGTACCTGCATACAGAAGCCCTTCAAACCCAAGCCACTACCAACTGCATTTGCTTTGAAGACATTCAGAATTTAGGACCTATTTCTGCAACTGTTATCCACACTGAGTAAAATCTATCCTCCTGAGTTCCTCCACTGACATCAGTGACACTGGTCACACAAAGAAATACTACTCTAGAAGAGTTAGGCAGAGGTTGCAGAAAAAGGGTATGTGGGAAATCTATGCTATCTGCTAAAAGCAAAAGCAAAGAAATATAATTAATAAAATAGAAAGAGAATACCAGCCCTTTAGTACTGACACATGAAACACTGTCAAAGGACAATTTGCTATAGACATTGACTAAAAATTCCAAAGCCTACAGGAGATCAAGAATGAAGAACTGCTGAATTACTGAGCCATGAGATAGCTTTGTTCAGAGGAAATCAGTAAATACTGTATCTCTGTCTAAAGCATCATACTAGGTTGAAATCAGCTGTTAACCTTAGTAGAGTAAAAACCATAGTGTTTTCTAAAGAATTTTGTTTTTCTAAAGAAACTGCTGATATACAGCCACTGCTGCACACACAGCACAGCATTATAATACAGTTTGGCAAAGTTTGCTTTAATCAGCACTCAGAATCCACTCACAGGCAAAAGCATAGAAAATGAAATGATTACTGAATAAAAAATCTATCCAGATCTTTTTTCCCAAGCCCTATCTTGTAGCTAGCTGGATTGTACACCTAAATACACAATTAACAAAGGCCTAAGTGGAAGGGCTATATTGCTATCAATTCAAAATATTTTCAGTCTAATGTAAAGCAGAATAAACTTTCTACATTTTCCCATCAGTGCATCCACCCAGCTCCCTGATATGATCACAAAGCATAGACAAATTTAGAATAGATGTAATTGCATACATGCTTTCAAAAACATTTGTTTGCTATTAAAGGCAAATACAACTTCTGACTTTTGTTCTTCCAGTGAAGCTATTCATCTAACAGATACAAGCGTAGAGTACCTTTAAAGTAAATTCCACCTGATCTCTGCTTTTGCAAATAAGGATGCCATATAGGTATGTTGCATTATATTTAATCTCCATCAAATGCTGATATCTACCTTTTACAGTAGCTGGTACCAGGTATTGAAAGGACAAAGCAGAAAATCTTGAACAACAATTGTGGAAAAATACCATTTATTAAGAAAAGATCCTTCTTATGTGCAGGGAATTACTGGTTTTGTTACAACAAAGAAAGATGCATACCATCAGAAGATAATTTTATACCTTCTAGATTGCTCCAGACACTTTCACAGCATATGCAGCCGCTGTCATACAACCCATTCCCCCAGCCATAATTGACAACAGCACGTCATTGTACTGCATGCCCTGGACAAATAATTACTGATACCGCAACAACATCCCACCAGAAAGGCTACTTCCCATCCCAGTGCCTACCCCCACCGCGGTCTCCCCATCCCGGGGCACCCCCACCGCAAGCCAGGCTCCAGACCCACAGC